GAGCATATGATGATACTTTCCTATTACTTTCCTAACAGCATCTGACAGCAAGATCTTGACCTAAGCCTAATGATAAGCAAAGGAGTAGCTTTGCAGAAGTACATGCATATTTCTAGTTGAATTGTGCTACAGTACTTTGCTGAATCCAGCTTCTTGACATGTTAATAAGAAATTAATTCTTCCCTTAATGTTCATCTTCAAAGCTTGTGCTGGATATTTATCAGCTAGCCCACATAAGTTAACTGCACCTGTTCTTCATTATAACTAAGCTAAGTTCTGTAGTGGCAAGTTTAACAAAAACTTGCAAAAGTCCTTAAATTCAAAATATAAGTTGCAATGTTTTCCTAGGAAGTCCGTCACTTTTTAGTGGTATTGAAACTATGACATTTAATCTCTGTGCGTCCTTTGTTGTGCCTTTGCTTTCTTTCTAAATTTTCTCACTTTTCTCTGTTAAAACAGAAACCATGAAAGCAAATTATTTGATTCAATATGTGGGGTAGTTTCAAAAGGAGAAGCCAGAGACTAATTGTTTTTCATAATGATGCATACTAATTTCAAGTTTACAATGCTCACTTTTGGGACTGTTTTTAAAAAGTGCTGAGAGCTTAGTATGTATTTAATGAGATTCTGTCTACCTTCCTCTGAAGGACAGGGAAAGGGAAAAAGCCAGTGAGATTTCCCATAATTCAGGCAATGGGTAAGCATTTTTATTTAGTTGCTAAGAAAGGGCTCAGTTATAGAAAAACAGCTCACCTGAAGGTGAGAGTTACAGGGTGGGAACAGAGGAGATTCTTTTTAGGTTTTATAGAACCTTTATATAATAGAACCTTTAGGTTTTATTATGACTATATCCCAGAGAAGATATAGGTATGGTCAATATATAGTGAGTATCTGCCTTCTCTTCAGGGCATATTAAGTACTTTGTTCTCTTACACTTTGATAGCATTGTCCATACTGTAAGTGCAGTTCATGGCACTAAGAAGAGGCAGAAAAACTAGTAAAAACCCCCAACCTGAGTGTGAAGTTAGGTCATCTATTTACTAGGTTTTTTCTCCCTCCTCTGAGTCACCTTGAATTTTCAACTATGACATTATTATTAGGTCTATGCATAACAAAGTTATAAAAGACCTGGAAAAAAAAAACCAAGGACCCGGAGTTAACATTCAATTACAGATTTTGGATTTCTTTGGTTTGATCTTTAGATGTCAAAACTATGACGTTAATGTGACATACGACTACAATACCAGCTCTGTGATTTATGATGCTGTAAGATACAACAGACATTTTTCATTCAGAGAATCCGTATGGACAATACAAATGCTAAAATAAGCAAGATCTGTAGAAAGAGGCAATAACTTTATTAGGCTGACTTAATCAGAGTAAATGGACGAGCTTATGGGCAATTCCTTCATGACATCGTTGCATCCAAGATTGTTTTCTTCCAGTGAAATAACATTGACCATAGCAATTATTTAGTAATACATACATAATGTTATGTATGTCATGCAATGAACTGAAAAGGAATTTTCTTAATTAATTATCTTTACAAGGCTTTGCAAGACACTGGTTAAATATGCAAATGACATGAAATCTGCATTGAATCCCTGGAATTGACTGATCTGTCCTTTCAAAGTGCTAGCAGTACCATCTTATTACATATGTCTTTTGTGAAGCCGTATTTGTCTGTGGAGCATTGTAATGTGACATAGGTTCAAAGAAGATAATCAGTGCTATCCTAAATCTTTTTTCCACACTTATGTTGTAAGGGCAGAACATAGCATTGGGTGCTCTTTCCC